GTAAAGATTATGGTAATTTGACATATATCAAATATATTACTTACATGCGTTTTTCTTGTAGCGAGTTTATACTGGCTTGGTCGAATGCTTATAGCGGGAGAAGACCCTTTATATATAGGTTGGTCGAATATTAATTGGCTTTTGATACTTAATTACATTAACTCATATATTTTTTTTACAGCAAGACGATTGATTGTTGTTGCTTCCGAAGATGTGGGACTTGCAGACAACAACGCACTTCCTTTGGTAATAGCATAAATGCATATTATTGGAAACATATAATATCATGCTATCTTGTTTTATGATTTTTATATATTTATTTTTCTACTCATCAGGCAACTGCAACATACCAAGCATGTCAATTCATTGGTATGCCAGAATGTGAAATTAATTTGGCTCATTGTGTTACATACTTAGCGGAGGCTCCAAAGAGCGTTCGTGTTTATAAAGCTTATGGATTAGTATGTAAACTAACTTAATGGAATACATAACCACGTAAGTTTAGTCGTTACTCACAATGAAGTTGTCATTTACAGGTAAAACAAACAGTCCAAAGTGAATATGCCTATCCGGTTCCCTTACACATTAGAAATGCTCCAACAAAATTGATGAAGGTAATTTACCTTCGTCGTTTTCATATAATTTTTAAATCAATAAGATTTTGATCACAAATTTTCCTACAAAAAAAAAGGATCTTGGCTATGGTTTTAGCTATAAATATAATCCTGACTATGAAGGACCTGTTAACCAAGAATATTTACCGAAAGAACTTAAATGTAAAGTATTTTTGGATGTTTATGGACCAACGAAACGCGACGAATCGGCAGATTAAATATATTGGTGCTTTTAAAGTAGTTATATGATTGTAAATGAATAAACGAAGCTTCAGTTACTTTTAATAAGGTACTATATAAAGCATTTTATTGAACAAGTCTGCTTCCGTAATACGTGGTTTTAAGGTTTATGGCATATCGATTCGAGATGCCTTTTTTTTTTCTGAAGATGAGATTATGTTAAATTCTGAACAAATTGCGATTTTGAGTGCTTAGGCATGATTATTTGAAATGATTTATTTTGGCGGGTATAATTACAGAATTAAAGGTCATTTGGTCTTTCTTAATGTTCATAATTGGTTTCTTTGGATAGCTTTCCAGTTATGGTTGATGCTGCAACACATGCTTCATGTATATGAAATCATCTGTATAGATGAATGAATGAAGAATTAGGTAAGACGTTAAACTACATAACATGTACAAATTATTAATGCGAATTTTATGCAACAGCTTTAAACTAACATGACAAAATAGAGATACTATAATAGAAACAACACGTGTAAGTTCTGATATCTCTTATGTTAATTTGTATTCATAGGTATAGATGCAGACATTTGAAATGTTGGGGTATTTTTACCTCTTCGCGTCTTATAAAATTTTCATGTCACTGCAGTATGTTATTTGACTTTCTAATGTTTACGGCCACGCTTATGCTATTACAGTCAGGGAATATACCAAATTTGGGTAATGCAGATCGCACCTTTAATAGTAATAGGTATGTCGATCACATGATTCTAGAAATATCATAATGAACTTATACCAGATACGTATTACTTGTATTCAAAATTCGAAATTCTTGCTTACTCGACTTACTACAGTACCAAAATTTCGTAATAATTAGGGTTAGTGATATACAGAGCTCGTTTTATTATATAATACCTTTTTATAAACGAATAGTCTTTAGATCGGGGTAATCAGAATACTTATTTTTATTTCCTGTATTCGCAGACCAAGTTCGCCGAATGCTGTAATATAATTAGAGATGTGCCTCTCGCGCGATAAACCCTGCATATATATTATATTTCCGTGTGATATTACACGAGATATGAGATAACCTTATCAGGATGAATATTCATTTTGCGTGAGATATGATTAATTTGCGCGTGGGCAAAACCTGAAAAGTTTCGCTTAAATGGGATCATTTGGGTTAAATGGGCTTTATTTATTCATAGACGGTTCATTCATCAAAAAAAAAAAATTAAAATTGTACATTTTAAATATTTTAAATAATAAATGTTATATTTATTTAAAATTCAGAATTGATTCATCGAAGTTGTTAACAAATGTCCTAATTTAGAACTGTATTATATTGTACTTCGAATTTTTTGAATAACATAAATAATGACAAAAAGAAAAAATTATATATTTATTTAAATCCAAACCAATTAATAATTGTCGCGGATCATAATGAAATCGGATTAAAATAAATGAGGGTTTCTATTTAACCCTTTAAAACCCACTTATACTTGTTTATTATAAACTCTGCTCTAAAACTAACATCTTACCCTAACCCCTAGCCCTAAAAAATGCACTTAAAAATTTTTATTTTTTGGCGGCTTGTCTATTTTTTTATATTGTACAATATTTCATTTTAATCCAATTTCATTTTAATCCGTCACAATAAATAGAGCGCTACAAAATCTCAATTCTGATTAGCATGTTCTATTTCATCATGTGGTTGCACTTCTAAATTTTCAGTGGATTCATGATTATTGAGCTCATTATCAGAATTAAATAACGATCTTACCTCTTCTAATATAACCAGCAATTCGTTACGCCTCTTGGACTTTATTCCACAATACTTTTTTCGAACACTATCACTTGCCTCTTCAAGAAGTGTCTCAATTTTATATACGATTTCTGCATTGGTCATACTTGTATCACTCATTAGCTTAATCGCTTCTTCTTTGGTAATTGGAATAGACCTAAATAAAGGAATGGAGTTATTTTTATAAAAAACTTCAGTAATATATTCCTTCTGAGCCTGTTTAGCTAAATTAGTGAACTCTATCAATTGTGCACTTAATTCATATTCTCCTCCTAAGTTTTTAAAAGTAGTTCCAGAATCTACCATCAGATTAACGAAATTTTCTTTTCTTAAACGAGCTCAAAATCTCTCATATTCTGCAACTGCTTCTGGTTTAACTCTCGGACCACTCGTTTGAACTTCATTATATCCAATTGATTGGAAAAAATTATTTCGCAGCTAAATTTATAATAATTTTGAGTTAGCTTTAAAAAACTTTTAGTAAATAAATTAATTTATACAGCAATTGAATACCTGCAAATATTTTTTACAATTTCGTGCGGCAATTCTCCAATGCCGCATTTGTGGAACGGGAGGTATTAATGCTTTCAAGGATTTATTTATCTCTTCCAAAACTGCATCTAATCCTTGGTGCTGGTTAAAAAGCCCTGACCGTGAAATTACACAATTCTTCTCTATAACATCTCGTATAGCTGGATCAAGTTGTAGCAGTTGCACTTCATCTGCGACTTCTATATAACGATATATTGGATGACGTCGTGCAGATCATACTGGAGAAAAGACCCTCCTTGCAGCACTTTTTAATAATGGATTATTTTCTCTGATAGCTTTTCTATAATTAACGATGGCCTGTAGATAAACGAAAGTCTATTTAAAATAAATAATCAATTAGTATTAAAAGAATTATAATTATAACTTTAGCTATTTGAGAAAGAATCAGATTCTAATCAATCTGGTTGATTTAAATTATATTTCTTGAATGCGATAATTCGATAGTGAAAATCCATGCAGTAATAATTGAAAATTAATTCTTAGTTTTATAATAATTACGTAATATCAAATAAAAAATGTATATTAGTATAGTATCTTATATTATTTAATTGATTCAAAATTTCAAACTTACTTTCGCTTAACTTTCTAAAACACTTATCGAATCTGTACTATATTAATAAACTTCCTCAGTTTCCTCATAAATAAGTCCAACCCCTTTCTCGCATAAAAATTCAGGCTTAGAGCTAACTTTACCCTGTAAATCTGTTATATCAAATAAAAAATGTATATTAGTATAGTATTTTATATCGCTTAATTGATTTAAAAATTTAAACTTACTTTTGTTTAACTTTCTAAAGCACTAATTGAATCTATATTGTATTAATAAATTTAGAGTTATCTTGTCTTGTAAATCCATTAGTTACAAGGCAGCAAAATGTGATTTTGACAATAAATAAATTTGGTTATTCTAATTAACCCAAGGTTATTAGAATCTGATTCAAGCTGTTATGCATTATTACTTATTGGGATAATAGTCAAAATTTAAAAGGTATATAATTTTTTATAACAAACCCAATAAATAAATTATTAAAAATAAATTAAAAGTTCTACCTGCTCAAATTTCGTTTGATAACATGAGTCCATTTGTCCCTTTACTCAGGCCAAGTATTCCTCCACTGATGGATTAGGATAACACTTAACATACAGCCACAGCAATTCCATGGCTATAGCTTGGTGATAAATATTGCAAATTGAATTCCAAGATTTATGATGGTCATGGTATTTCTTAAAGTAGGAAAGTTGATTTTCGGTTTTATATCCCTAGCATATTATGAATTGCTTAAGATTAATATCCCTATTAGATAATTAAAAGTTAACAAATAGAAAATAAAATATTTAAGCACAAGGTAAGTTTACCAATTTAATTCTACAAAGGCTCGAAGTATGTTTATTTCTTTGTGCAATTGCCCAGGAATAAGAATTAGCCATGGGTATTTTTCTTTAATTTTTGCTGCCCAATGATATGGAATGCTATCGCATGTTACAACTATCTATTTATGTATTTCATCTTTAATCTCTAAAATTTTTTCGATATTAGTAAAAATTTTTTCAATATTTTCTGTTGTGTTAGAATCAACATCAAGAGGATCAGGTATAAAAATTTCTGGAATGTTAACCCCTTCATCAGCACACATTTTTTGAGTCACACTAATTCTAGGTGTGTTAGATGGTCAAGTCTCTTTTTTGGTTTAAAGGTAAATGACTGTTTAGCTATATCCTCCTCTGCTTCTACTTCCACATGTTGCTTTGACATTTCTGACAATGTAGGTAGATGAAACTTGCATTCCGGGCAAACTTGTCTTTTATTGTCAATATCTTTTTTTTTACAGTTAGGACATTGTTTGTTGCAATGAATATTCAGGCCTACATTAGATGCAAGAGAATCAATCTTATTAGTTGTGGTTAATTTTACTTCACACAATAAACCAAGAACTTCAGAAAGATAAATATGCAATTCTTTATCTATAACTTCTTGCATTTCAAGCATAATATCGAAAAAACTTTTGTATTGAGATCTATCAAGAGAATTAAATACCCAAGGTACACTATTAGTATGTTGAATATAATTTTGTGAATTCATGTTGAAGGCAATGAAACTAGTAATAGTATAAAATATCACTGTGTTGAGTCCTCGGTCAAGATAATTTCTTTGTCCCCTTTGTTCATTGTCAAATGCTAAAAATAGGAGGCCTTCTGGTAGTGCTTCTTCTTTATTAGATAATTCATCTAACCAAGTTTGAAAACAGAAATAACTCCCTGAGCTTGTAATATGATTATTAATATTGATAATAGTTTTTGATCTTGCAATAAAATATTTTATAGCTGATGCTACAAGGCTCATTTCTGATACGTATTTTCTGTATCTGGATCTATACACAGAATTGATGACCATAACCCTTTTATAAATCTTTTTAGCATTTTTGACCCCTGTATTGAGATTATTATGGGTTAATATTTTAATAAATTTTACAAGAACTTGATTGCATCTACTTAGCCATAAATGAGGAGTATAGTTTAATAGATTTTCCAAAAAAAATCTATTGTTATCTCTAATCAAAGCTTCGACATTCCTATATAAAAAATTTCGTTTAATTAGTGCAATATCAGTGATTGCTTGTATGCACTTATCTTGATCAGAGTATTAAGAGTCCCATTGCTCGACCAGTTTCTTATTCTTATCAAGTTCATCACTAAATAAACTCTTTAAATAAGCTATAACTTCATTGTGCTCTTCTAACTGCCTCCTCAATTCTAATATCATTTGCTCTTGGTCTTCGATGTTCTGTTGAAATTCTGTGATTATAATAAGCTTTCTATTTTCTTGTTTTTGCAATTGTTGCTCTAATGCTACAATTGTGTACACATAACTTTCCATATGCATTGCTTCTGTATACAATTCATCAATTTCTTTATGAACATTAGCATCATCAGAGCTTGTGTCAGATCGAGCTCTCTTATTTTTAAAAGCAGGATTACCTAAAAGGTGATTATAAAAATAATTAGTAGAAATTACTTGGTTATAATGTTTTTCACAAATTGAGTGTGGATACAAATAAAGTTTAAGTTCAGACATATAATCCATATATGATTTAAACTAATTAGTGGTGGTTGGTGTATTAGCATATCTCCAGGTTTGTGATTCTTTTGTTTCACAAGTCTTAAGCCGAGTCTACTATACTTATTAGCTATTATGCTAAACACATAAGAAAGATCTTTGGCTCTTGGTTTCTCTACAGCTGATGAAAGATGCGACATCGTTGTAGAGCTTTTATATAAGCATTTTAATAAATAAATAAAAAAAGAAATTAATACATTGTAATAAAATTTAAATGTAATATTCTTCATTATTTTGGGTCTCATTTACCTTTTTAAAAAATGTTGATTACCAAAAAATAATGACTGATTATGTAACTAGAGGTTTTTAACTTTCTTTTTGAATATTAACTTGTCAAGATTTAATACTATGAATGCCCTAAATTCTAGATTTAGTTAGTAGTAGTAGTAATTATCATTATCCAATTATAGTGCAGAGAATTTTTGAAGATTATTCTAGATGCATTCTAGAACTGATCTTCAAATTTGCTATATTCCCTAACTGAAATATTTTAGGATTCCAGGTCACAAGTATGGTAACTAATTATTACAACACACCTGATCCATTCCTGGACCTCATCCAAGACAACCTCTGGAGCTCAGTCCAACAATTACCAACTACTAACAACTCTATATAACAAACTCAATCAAAAGAAAATATAGATGACCATATGAATACTCAATCTAATGCAACTACAGAATTTTCTACACCTCCAAAGAATAGTGCACTTACCTCTGATCTCCAAAAAAAAAATATACTAAGGATGATCACTCACTTACCTAGTATAACTTTGTTACTATTACATTAGCAAAAACACGTATACTAAATTTCGATACAACAGTCTGGGACAATGATATGATCATTAATACTTTTTTATCTTCTGAGCTGCTTCTCAAATTCTTTCAACACAAAACCTAAGCTAATTCAATCCAATATAATCTACTAAATGCAATTAAAACAAAATTGGAATACTTGGACTCAGCTTTCTTTCGATCATTTATGAAAAACAAAGAAACCCAACCACAATATCAAAAAGAATTCAACTTACTATTACAAATAGCAGTAGAAAGATACAAAAAACTACATAATGTTTGCTTTATAAACAAATTCAACAAAAATCAAATCTTTACAAAACTCAAAGCCAAAATAGCTTTAGACTTTATTTGTAATACAGATTTTCTTATCAACAGCCCATATAATTGTACATGAATAATTATCTATTGTCTTAACTTTGCACAAATAAACTGTACTCTTAGTTTTGAAGAGCTATGTAGCTTGATTAATGAGGCTTACTCATTATTACTCATTCCTTTACCTCAAGATCCACTCAAGATAGATCAACCAATTCAACAAATTCTCCTCTTTTCACTACCAATTCAAGATTGCAAACTTATTCAAGCAACTGTATTAGCTCTACAAAAAATTTTTGCTTTTGAAAAGCTTCCTGATAGCTACTTTCTTACCATTCTTGAACTACTTTCTAATGATTCTGCTAATCTCTACACCAAAATCTAGAATCTTTTTCCAATTACAGAACAGGCTAAATTGCCGTTTCTCTCTAAATACTGCTCAAAATTAATGAAATACTACATAGTAGAAAGAATACCTCCCAACTACTTTAACTTATCAGAAGCAAAACCCAGACTTCTATTAACTTCTTAAAACCTTATCTCAGCCATTCGCCACCTGTTCTCCTGTAATCCAACTAACACTTCAGAATTTTGTAGATATGTTGAGAATACTACAGCTTTTGTCATATTCTTAATGATTTCTTTATACAAAAGAAACCACTTCCAGTAGACCCATACTCTATTAAAATGACTACAACTTACAACTTTACTATTTCTAATACTCACCAAGCCAAAGAATTTGTGGCAAAGATCCAAGACAAGTATAAATTTAATATTCTACTCCCACTTACCTATATGACTGTTAACCCTACAAACAAATCTCTACTCCCTAATGAATATACTCTTATTATTAAAGTAAACCTAACAATACCAATCAGAAGCTCCAAAGCTCTAGTTGATTCTTGAAAGAACACTACTTCTTCTACCAAATTTCAAGTAAATGGATCGAAATCCAAATTACTTTGAATACTTCAGAAAAATCTTTACTCCCATCTCAACTCCCTGAGCTTGTAATATGATTATTAATATTGATAATAGTTTTTGATCTTGCAATAAAATATTTTATAGCTGAT